ATTGAATTTTGACCATGTGTGAAAAATCATACTATCGTCTCGTTTGGGAATAAGCTTTTTTAGTAATTTTTTGACTTTTTGGCTAAAATATGATGTAAAAAAACTAGTATGTTCAGGATATTTTTTTGTTTTTTATGAAAAGATATGCAAAAATTAGAAACAAAAGAGAATCTTTGACTTTTTGGTATAAGTTGTTGGCTTTTTGATTTTTTTAGTGACTTTTTGGCTAAAATCACCACTTGCCAAACGAGGCCAATTGTAACTCAGAGCGAGATTTCATAAAAAATAACCAGGTAAAATGAGTGAAATCATCGACAAATATGACAGAGTATTTAGATCCCCCCATAGTGATATTAGGTGAAGGCCCCCAAACATCGGAGTGTATGAGATCAAAAGGTGCATGAGATATAGAGATACTAGTATTAAATGGTAAAGTAGGTTGTTTTGCAAGTTGACAAGATAGACAATCTATTTTATCATTTAGAACACCTAATTGACCATTTGAAACTAGAGAGCGTAAACGATCAAAAGACACATGACCTAACTGAGAATGCCATAAAACAAGAGGGGAACTAGTAGTAACAGAAGCAATAGTCTCGACAGTGGAAGGACTGGAGGAAGGAATGCGAAGGTGGATGAGTTCGTACAGACGTCCATGTCTATGATCTATCCCGAGTGTTTGTCCCGTCTTCAGATCCTACACAACACAATCAGTTGGAGAAAATAGAATAGTGAAGCCAAGATTACAAAGTTGACCAATAGAAATAAGATTAAGTGTAAGATTGAGGATCATAAGTGTGAGGGAGAGAGACATTAGAGGTAGAAATATGGCCTATTTGACTAACATGTATTTGAGAATCATCAGCAATGTGAATGATAGATAAATTACAAGGACATGTGGTCAAAGAAAACAGTGTAGGGTCAGAGGTCATATGGTTGCAACAAGCTGAATCAAAATACCATGAAGAGGTACCTAAAGCAACTGAGAGAGTAGTAGAGGGTGTACCAGAAGTAGAGAAAAACCTTGTTCACAATAGCTTCAATATCATGAATAGTGTAAGTGGAAGATGAGGCAAGTGCAATAATAGTAGAGGAAAACTGAGCCGAAGAATGATGCTAGCTGATAGAGGATCCAGAAAAGCCACAATATAGAGGAAAACTATCTGAATAATCCATGAAGTGATCAAAGTATTAGTCACAAAAAAGGTCCGGTGGTGTCAGAGTAAAATTGGGGGAAACAGAGTGTCCCAGTGAACCGAAACACCGAAAATAGTTGGATAACAGCTGAGTTGGCCCAGAAATAGCTAAAAAATGGACCTGTAGATGACCAGGTGTGAAATAAGCCAAAAATGATGTCAGCAATAGGTAAGGGTAATGTCAGCGTGCACTGCACACGTTAATAGAAGAGGCATACAACACACGGTAGCTACAGAGACGTGCACAGTGCATAATAACAGAAAAGACACGAGCACATGAAGCTGATGTCAATAATGATGTGCACAGGAGCACGGAGGCTGACATCAGATAGGGCTGACATCGAAAAGGTTAATTGTTGAAGCGACTAGATTGGAACAGCGCGGCGGAGTTAGCTAGAGTGGCTTCGCGGCTAGGACTGACGTTGCGCGTGATTGCTCGTTGGAGAGTGCAAGCAGAAGCGATAACAATTGACGCGTTGATGACAAAATCATCTTGTGAGCGTGCGTGGAGAACTTGCTAGTGATGAGGTTAGTGGTGTTGGAATCGTGAGAAGATTCCGATCATTTGATGATAAGGTCGAAAAAAATTTGGTCACCGTAACAGTGCTTGAACAGAGGTGCTACAGTGCCACTATGTACGGGCAGTGAGCAAAGGAAAAAAAAGACTTAAGACTTAAAATCTGTGTTCTGATACCATATTATGATATTAGAGAGAGAGAGAGAGAGAGAGAGAGAAAAAAAAAAGAGAAAGAGAGAAAACTTTGTATTATATTCAATGAATAATATGAGTGAACACAAGGCTCCTTTATACAGGAGAAGAAGAAGCTAAGTATAAAAACTCTATCTATGGTAATGCACAATATGGTAATATAAATATATAAAGCTAGCAGTTTATATTGGAACCAAGCATTTCAGTGTCATCCATGGTGAAGATGATGAGTAATGTATTAGATAATAATGGTGAAGATGATGAGTGTTGGAAGATGATGAAGAAATACAATGTTTATATGTTTAAACCCTATAGGTGATGATGGTGTGTGAAAAGTATTTTGTGTTTTTAAATATGAAATCTTTGAATGGGTAGAATACACCCCATATTGTCCTTAATGGTCTTTTCATTTGAGGATATTATTAGAATATAAATTTAAGGGAAGTTCTATTTACACACCACTAATCCCCTCAGTACACACCATTAACAGATTAAGAGTAATTTTATTTATGCACCACTAATCCTCTCAATACATACCATTACGTAGTACGCACGCATAATAATTTTTAGGGTTTGAAAATATCTTAGTTCATACCTTAACTTTCCATTACTAGTCCTAAGGTAACACACTACCTATCTGTTTGAATACACACTATAATCCACACCCAAATATCTCCATTTTCAGAACACCAAAGACCTCCATCTTTAGAATTCCATAGATCTCCATCATTGGCGTTGAAGATCTCCATCGCCAGCGGAGGGTTTCATGTAGCTGGTACACTATCGTTGTTTCAAATCTCCATCATCGCTGTCGTTTTGTTGTTGGCTTGCCAGTGCATTGTCGTCGTTTCAAATCTCCATCTTCATCGTTGTTTCACTGTTATTTCACCAGTGCATTGTCGGTGTTGAAGATTTGTCATTCTCACCCTTGATTCACACATTTGATTCTCACCTTGATATGTTTTCCTATTTTCTTTTGATTTGGTTACTAATTCAAATTAAAATATTGAATTTTATATATATGAACATTTATAATTTGGTCAATCTTAATAATTTGAACAAAATTGTTTTGTTCGAATAAAAATGATCGAACATTGTGTAAAAGTTCAACTCTAATTATCCGAACATGTGACAAACAAAGTCATCTTCCCAATGGTTATACAAACGAGATAAACAAAAAATCAAAAAGCTAAAGTAATTTTTTTTTTTAGAGGACCCAAAAAGAGGAATATTAAACTGATTGATTTATTGTTACATTATTCGAAATCAACAATCTTAGTGTCATCCATGGTGTGCAAATATTCAAAACCAATTGATTTTAATATGCTCCAATCTTAAATCTTCAAAACCAATTGATTTCAATATTCTTAAACCCTAAAACCAACTGATTTCATTGTTCTTAAATCCTAAATCTTCAAAACCAATTTATTTTGGATGTTTATGTGTATAGGTGATGATGTTGTCTGAAGAGTGTTTTGTGTTTTTTGTTTTTATGTATGAAATCTTTGAATAGATAGAATACACCCCCATATTGTCTTTAATGGTCTTTTCATTTGAGGATATTATTAGAATACAAATTTAATCTGTTAATGGTGTGTATTCTAACCATTCAAAGATTTCATATTGAAAAATACAAAATTAATACTCTTCACACACCATCATCACCTAGAAGGTTTAGGGTTTAAACATATAAACACTATATTTCTTCATTATCTTCCAACACACATCATCTTCACCATTATTATCTAATACACTACACTCATCATCTTCACCATGGATGACATTGAGATGGTTGGTTCCGATATAAACATTAAAAATGTTGATTTGAATATTGAAAAGGTTAGCTTATTACATAGCTTTTTAGTTTTTTATGTATCTCGTTCATATAATCATTGGGAAGACGAGTTTGTTCGCTATGTGTTCAGATAATCAGAGTTGAATTTTTGCACAATGCTCAATTATTTATATTTGAACAATATAATTTTGTTCAAATTATTAAGATTGACAAAATATTAATACATAACAAATTGAACATTTTCAGTTAGTTCGGTTAAAAGAAATTAAACTTTTATTCTTTGTTCAGATATAAATTTTTGAACACATAAATTAGTTCAACTCTATATTCATGAAGAGGACTATTTTTTTTTTTCCAGGTTAAATTTTTTAGAGAATTCTATACCCACCCAAAGTAGCAATGTTGAAATTGATTGTGTTGTTGATACACAAGTGAATTTGTTACTAAAGATGTACAATCATGTTTGAAAATTACAATAAATTGTGGTTCATTTTAATATTCTCTCTCTCTCTCTCTCTCTCTCTGTGGTGGAGGAGGAGACATGAGGGTTAGGTTACAATAGAGGTGGAGAGGAGATGAATCACGATGGTAAGGACAGGCAACAGTGTTGATCACGATGGCGAAGGTAGGGATTGGGATTGTTCGCAATGGCAGTGGGGGGAGTGGGGTTGTTCATTATAGGTTGGGAAGGGCATACTATGGTATAAGGATGGACGACGGAGTTGGAAAGGAACAGCAGGGCTGGAGAAGAGGGGTTAGTGGTGGCTGCAGTAGCGAGTGTTCGAGAAAAGGGGTTGATGGCATTGGCAGGAAGATAGGGAGGTTGTGGAGAGGGCAACGACCGAAGAGAAAGGGTGGCTGCTTGCTATCAGCTATCGGCGTTGGCCGTGGTTAGGGTTTTGGTGGAGGAGGAAGGGTAGTTTAGTATTATTTGAAAAATAGTGGTATGTATTGAGAAAAAAAATCAAAACTTTCAATTTGAGTGTAGTGTGAACTAAGCACAAAGGGAGGTGATGGTGTGTATTGAAATAATTAGTCGTGTGTAAATAGAATTTTCCATAAAAATTAAATTAAATTAAAGAGTGTACAAAAGTTAGAAGTATGGTGTAAGTAGCATTACCTTTTATTAAATCAAGGGAGAAACTTTTTTTTTTTTTTTTTGTATCAAATTGAGAATTCATCAAATTTAAATTCGATAAAATTTAAAAAGATAAAGTATCGGTGATTATTTTTTTTCATCAAATTTGATGAAAAGGAAAATTTGGGATGAGAGGAGAATTTTTCTTAACTTGGAAACCAGTTAAGAACCTTGTGACTCTGGATGGTGTTGGTGCTCCTTCCCTTGTTCAACAACGTTGGTAATCTTTCTCTTCCTCCTAACTGTGGTTAAGCCAACATTGGAAGGTTGCTGCAATAGTCGACATTGTATCATATCGAGTAATCGCGACTGCAAATGCTTGTTCATCTCCATCACATGTTTTCCCATTCTTGTGGCCCAAGCTTCACTCTCCAGCCTTGTTTCCATCATCATTTCCATAGCTGCAGTTGTCTCCCCAGTCTGTTCAATAACAATCACAACCACAACCACAATCATGCCAAGCCATGAGAGAGAGAGAGAGAGAGAGAGATAGAGTGAACCTCCAACTCAAGGATCTGTTGTTTCAATAAATCGGTGGTTCGAAATTCAGAGGCAATACAATGACCTTCATCCCTAGAAGAACTTGAAGGTAGGTAAGTAAGTACTCCTTCAGATGAGTTGGCTGGCTTAGGATACTTATCAAGCACAGAAACTCTGAACTGGTTAAAGGTTTTATGATTATGGTTCATCCTAGGAAACAGTGACAATTGTGGGATCACAACCAAATTAGTTATGAAACCTGCAAATAAATCAAAGAATGACTTTATTATTGATTGTTAATTTTTAGGTATAGATGAAACACATATAGATTCAATAAAAAAAAAAAAAAAAAGACTCATGTGCAGTTTCGTCATACAAAATGTAAAATTCCCCAACCTTGTTTCAACTTTGTATTTAAAATGTTGGAACATATAAATCCCGTCATACAAAATGTAAAATTCCCCAACCTTGTTTCAACTTTGTATTTAAAATGTTGGAACATATAAATCCCATCAAAATGAACGTATATGTCATCCTGTTAAGCAAACCTTAGGGCCCATTTGATTATGTTTTCATTTTATTTTTTCTGTTTTTATTTTTAGAAAACATAGAAAATTAGCAATACGAATCTAGAAACCTCCAAAAATTAGAGTTAAAAACTATAGGAGTGAACATTGGATGGTATTAAATTCCCCTAACCCAACTACAAAATTAATTTTTACAAAAAAAAAAGAAAAGAATTCCACTTGCCTTTTAGGTGGTTGAATCTTCGAATGATTACACAATTGACAACATCCCAAAGGCAGGCAGTGCAATCTTCAGATGCAGAGACCAAGCCCAATCCGCAACATGTCAACGCAGTTATAGATCCACTGCATCAACAAAGATTGGTCAGTTCTCAGTTTTTGTTTGTGTTCACATTAACAACAAATGTACACAAATTTTTGAACTAGGTATAGAGACTAGAGAGGATCATTATAGAACACTCATTGCCACCCTTTTATGTATGTGAAATTTTGAGTGTGTAAAGTTACATCCACAAAATGATATTAAACCACATAGTGAAAAAGCCAACTAGCTGAGCTATTGCAACTTTTAATGTGTGCAAGTTAGAGATTAATGCAAACTTATGATAACTCTTTTTATTTATTTATTTATTGAACTTATGATAACTTTGACGTACATTTTTACATGAAAATCTATTCAAGAATATATGCATCGCGGCAAATAGGACCGTTTGATTTTCTATAAAGTAACAACATCATTAGTCTATAAAAATCACAAGAAAAGTTTTAAACTGTTAAAGTTGGTTTGGATTCTCATGTCACGCTCACTAATTCTGGGTCACCACTGCCCTCAATGAGTTGGGGTCAAGCTATGGCTCAAGTCCATCTTACAGGAGTGACCGTGGATCCCCCATGTCTGCGGGCCCATGTCTCACTTAATAGATAAGGGCTCCTATGTTCATACCCAGGGATGGTTGCCACACGCTGGTTGTCCCTTTCTACACTTTTTTACAATCTTTTACGGAGTAACCAAAAAGAGGAAGGAAAAAAAAAAAGTTTAAATTCAACAATTTCACTAACTCTTTCTACATCTAAATAGAGTATTTTTCTATAAAGCATTTTGAGAGTTCCAAACCCAAGATTTTACTGACTTGCAACAAAGACTACGGATATAGAACTAGCCACATAAAACAATCCTAGCCATACATATCAGATGGTGAGACCTATCATAAGAAAATACAATTTACTCAAATTGCTCCACTTATATGTTATGTCTATATAGTCAATTCTATTGTCTTTAGACTTATTGTACTGACTTGTGTCCCATTAGCAAGGTTGGCTCATCCTCTAAAACAATTGAAGTATCTTCCACCACTCCAAAATCAAGTGTATTCAAGAAAATCATTCCATTTGCGCTACCAAAAAATAACTTCTTGTCTGTTGGATCAACAACTATTGCAGTAATTGGTAGCGGAAAAGCTCGAGTTTGTAAAAGTCTTCCAGTAACCAGGTCCCATACCTACAATACGAAAATAAGTCATTTCAAGTGGCAAAAATACTCATGCTAGGAAGATATTATTTTGAAACATTTAACGTAATTAAGTAACCTTGCATGTGCCATCGAGGGAGCTTGATAAAAAAATTGAACTTGACCCACTTGATGCAGTTAATAGGCCCGTTATAGAGGATGAATGCTCTAATGAAAAATTTAGTATTAAAGGCACAGTCCAACAATCTGTCTCGTCTACCAAACTTCCACCAAAGAATGTGATTACAAAATTAGTTATTTATTTTTCCTGAACAATAAAACTAAACGACATTCAAATATGAACATTCAATTGTTGAAGAAAGGAAGATTCACTTTTTTTACCCGATCATAGGCCAAATAATGATCATGCCATCTTCTGAACCAGAAATAAGGAATGAATCATCGCTAGAAAATGTCAAGCAAGTCACTGATTTATGATGTGCACACCAAGTCCTGACCAATCTCCCATTTGAAATCTACAAATTACCATGGCACTCAATATTTGGAAATAATGACTACAAATAATATGTACGAATTAAGCTAATGGCCCACAAAGACAACTATTTAGTAATTTTTTTATATTGTGATAAAAAAAATTAATCTTTGCATATGGGGCTACAAAAAGAGTTTGTTAACCTCCCAAACATAAGCATTTCCAGAAGGGGCTCCACCAACAATATATGTGCCATCCTTTGTGCATGTTATTGGTCCAATGGACTCCATTGGGTAGCTCCGGACCGGTGCTTGAGGCTGAATATCAATACGTCATACAAAGAAGTAAATTGAGTTTCACAACAAAAATCTGGAATGATGTTTAATAGAACAAAATATTATTAGATCATAAACCCCAATTTACAAAGTTGACTTCCTTAATTCAATCCCAAAAAAAAAAAAATTCTTGATTAGTTTGTTTTCTTTATTGTTTTGCAAAATATGTCAAATTCAAGTGATTGTAACCAATGATCGCTATGATTGATGAATTTTAAAAGTAATTACTAATAGCATCATTACTTTTGTCCATTTAATCATATGCTATTCGCAACGGTAAAGAGAATATTATTACAAACCAAAAATAGAGCAAAACTAAAGAATCCAGCTAATGGCTAATCAATGATAAAGAGCTTATTTTTATCAATACTTGGACTGGACTTTCTCATTAATATAACAATGAGATTTATTTTTATCAATACTTGGAATGGACTTTTTAAACCATCACATCATGTTTTGGATGAGAAGAAAGAAGAAAATCAACAAGGGACACAAGGGGGAAAATCAGCAAGAACATGAAACACTTGTTATCGATTTCAACACATTTTTCACTGATTTCAAAATACTTTTTAGCTTTTTCACTTATTTTCAAAACAATATTCACCCCAATCTCGATGCAAACCAGTGTCCCAAGGTAAAAGTTAGCATTATCCAGACAGAAATTGACACAAATATAAACACCAATTGCATTTCCTAAATATATAGAGACCATCATTACTCACAAACTAACCTATAGAAAGGGCTTCTATAGACCAATCAGCTATATATTACTTCTAGCTAGGATTCAAAAACCTACATGATTCGACTTAAAAGAAACATCAACAAATAGAACATTTAACTTGTAACAAAACACATATACAAATTCATATGTAGGCAATTCAAAGTACTCAATTCCCAACTTACCCCATACCAATGGCATGGCTAGAAATTTGATTCAATGATGTCATTAAGCTATTTGCCTTCGATATCATTATTTCATATTATTAGTTCTACAAAAAATTTTAAAATAAGCTTTCACATAATATACTACAATAGAAATATCAAATCATATATTTGCAATAATAACATTGCATACATAATTTGAATTTGTTGAATTTCATCAAATGAACTGAGAGAGTTAGAAAAAAAGACAAAGTAAGACTTCATTTGAAGAAAAAAAAATCATAAACACTTAACAATCTCATGCTTAAAAATAAGATAACTCTACGAGAGAGAGACTATTGCAGTAATTGGTAGCGGAAAAGCTCGAGTTTGTAAAAGTCTTCCAGTAACCAGGTCCCATACCTACAATGTGAAAATAAGTGAGAGAGAAAAGTAACTCTTAACTAAATTTTACTTTAAAAAAAATTAAAATACAAACAAAATTTTTATACAAAATGATGACGTATTATTTCCCCATCATTTGCATTTACAACGCTCACAATTGTCATCATCATTTTTATAAATATCATTAACCCATCATTTTGGATATATTTTCTATTTAAATTGTCTATTTTCAAAATCATTTTGACACAATCATATTTACTTTTTAACAATTTTACTGATGCTAATTTATGAAAACCTGTCAATAAAATTGCATAATACTAGTAACCATTTCCTTTTTAATTTTTTGTTTATATTTACAAAAAATTTAAAAACTATCATATAAACTTGTTTGATAAGTTTATGAGTTTATAAACAGGTCTCTCAAATTAAAAATTAAGCTAGAAATTATAAACTGAAAAAATGTGTTTACAAAAGTTTAAAAACAAAAGAAAAACGCAGAAGGAACATGGAAGCAATGTGAAAGGAAGACGGATGCACATGGTCAGTAATTCAAACTATGGGAGTAGCATTCACGAATGAGTTTTTTGTTTTAAATATTTTGTTCAAACCAAACATATTTTTAGTTTTTATTTTTCTAGAAATAAACAAAAGTTAGTTTACAAATTTTTTATAAACATAAACGAACATAAATATTATCAAACGGCATCTATATAATCTTTAAAAAAAATAAAAACTTTAGTGGGCTTAATTAAACCCACTAAATTATTATATGTAGGATAAACTACCAATAGGTCCTAATAGTTGAACTTAATTCCCATCAAGTCCTATTGAAAATAAATCCACTTAAAATTGTCGTTAAAAATAATTTTTTTGTGACAATTTTTTATATATATCGCTAAAAATTGACAATTAGTGACTTTTTTGTCATGATTTTTATAAATTGTCGCTAAAACTTACAATTAGTGACTTTTTTATGACAAATTTTTCCCATAGGACCTATTAGATAATAAGTTCACTTATTAGGACCTACACGTAAGTACCCCTATGTATAACTCTATCCACAACTAACACCAATCTGATCAAGTAATGAAAATGATTACTTATTTAAAAGCTCATGAATGCAGGAAGACAAATTAGATACCAACCCAAATAAAGTTTTTCCTCCCAAGTGAAGTCGGCTATTTTGCAGATTTAAAAAATAAATAAATAAATAAGCATACTCTAGTCCGAGCTCATGGGAAATCTTGATAAAAACTAGAACTCTCAATGCACAAAACTCCTGCTAAAATACGGTGAGTTCCATTTTAGGAGAGATTGTTTATTATTTGACTCAAACCCACTAAAGTTGCACGCATGCTAAATTGAGAATGAAACTTACACATTTGAGTGGTGAATTAAAATTTTCCATATGCCCCTTTAATTAGAATGGAGTGCCAGTGATTCACATTCAATAATGTGGATCACTGGCCTATATATATACAAAAATACTATGAATTCTCTCTTATTAACTCATAATTTATCTCGTATGGTGAAAATTAAATTGATGAAATGTAAGATCTATGTATAAAATGAATTTGAACCATTAATTTATTTTTTTGAATAAATTTTGGATTTTTGTAGTGTTGTTTATATATGTATATATAATCCTAGTGCAACAATTCACAGAGGGCAGAGACACAGGATTTGAAAGAGATCTTGAGATTGAGCTAGAGGGTATTATTAAGATTAATTACCTTATTGAAGGGCCAAATAAAGATGACCCCACCAGCAACTGAGCCCTGCCTGTGTATCTGAGAAGCCACAAGACACTGGTTTGCCAAGCAGATGAGTCCATGAGGAGGTGAAGCACTGGTTGGTATGTGAAGGAGATTTTCCCCACTCTCTATGTCCCATATTGTTATTCCTATCCCCAAGCTCTTGTCACTGCACACTACCAATGCCTCCTTACCAATTCCACCCATCTCTTTCTCTCTCTCTCTCTCTCTCTCTCTCTCAAGCAACTTTTTCTTTTCTCTCTCTAGACAAAGACAAAACAGTTTTGAAGCTGCAAGCATGCAAAGCACTATGTAACATTGCCAAATTGGCAAATGTGGTTGAAAATTTTGGCACATTATATGGCAGATCACTAGCTATTAATGCAGCTCTCCTACATGTGTTTGCCATGCAGTGCTGCCGCCTATTCCAGCAGGACATATCATTGTAACCGTTGTGATGATAAAGTCATCCTGAAAACAACTTTATAAACAACTTTATCATCATTGTAACCGTTGTGATGATAAAGCCCTAAAATTTCAAATCACATTTTCAAATTTGAAAAAGTGTGAAGTTTTTATTATTTTTTATAATTTATATTCAATTGAGATCTTATTTGATAGAATTTTTAAAAATATGAACCTTATCAAAAATAGATATGTATATCGAAAATAGCGGAATTTTAAAGTTTGAAACATAAAAAAGAAGAGGAAATTACACGTTAATTACAAATTCATCAAAAAATTTATAATTTTATTTTTTTTAATATTTGTAAAGCTTATTACTAATCTGAAAATATTTTTTCAAACTCCCACTAATGTGAAATTACCCCCAAAAAATAATAGCTACCATATAAGTATGTAAACTATTTTTGTTAAATTTGTGCTTGCACAAAATAAGGATATATTATGGAACTTTATCAATTAAAAATATAATAATAGAACTTAATGAAATACAAGTGCATGCAAAAAAACAAAAAATCCTTGAATAAATTTACTTAATTACCTTTTATTTACCAAGAAATTACTCTACTAAACTTGATCTCTTTTTTGGTACAGCCAAATTTCTCTCTTTTTTACACCCAATCAAAATCGATCCATGGAAGTGTAGGGCAGCAATCACAACCTCAAAAAATTTAAAAATATCAAATACTATATTAACAATTAATAAGATAAATACAAAATCTTAAAAGTTCACAATCAATTATAATTATAAAGACTTGTAAATTTAAAAGAAAAATAATTAATTCAGATTTATCAAATATTAATGTCCAATTTTGTTAACTTGACACAACAGATCAATGTGAACTATGCATATTTATAAAAGGATGTCAAACTGTAGCTCGACTTTTTCATTCCCTCTCTCGGAAGACAAATAAGCCCTACAGCATCGGTCTCCCGCAGTTATGAATCTGATCTCACAAGTGCAATGTGAAATAGATAAATACCAAAGAGTCCCAATCCTGCAAATCTTTTAGAAAATCAATTTTGAATCAAAAATGCCAAAAATAGACTGCTTTGCCAGATACAGAGTCGCCACCTAAATATTTTTTGAGAAATTTAGGAAACCCATGACTCGTGCAAAAGGTCACGTGTCTGTCATCACCAAGATTGTCTCGGCTCAGGAAGTTAGGTACGAGAGGGGAAGGTCATGAATTGAGCACCGCCGCTCGCCCGATCGAAGATCGGCCTCTACTGATCATGATATGAATCTTATTTACATTATATGCTCTTATTTTGATTTGTTAGGCTAGCATTACTATGTGATGTGCACACACACAAGTATAGACTAAATTGCAAGAATTGGAACATTTCGATTCATGTTTGTTTTTTAAAAGAGTTTTGAATATGTATCACTTGAAAAAGTGATCACATATAAACATTTGCTCAAATTATTCCAATTCAAGCAATTAGCCTTTATCCACAAGCATTCAGGCAATTTATCACTTAAGCATTTAGCCTCATGATAAGCATGCTAGACATGGCAACAATCACACGCATGCGATATGCTAAAGTGAGTAATGGCTCACCTAGTACTCCAAGCCAAAAAGATGGAAGAGTTAGAACAATCCATAATCCTAACTATGCAATATGACTAATGCAACACATGCGATATGCAATCTAAATAAGCTCGGCTACTAGCATAGCATATGAATCAATTAAACAGCATGCGGTCTAAGCACGTATTTAAAGAAGTATTAAACTAACAATGCAGTTAGAATGATGAACCAAGCATCGGTGCATGCAATACAAGTGGATACAAGGCATGAGAGATGCTAAACAAAACATAATGCCCTAAACTAAACAACATAAGCAGGTAAATAAAAGGGAGAAAGACGTGGGGTTGGAAGAACGTTATTACAACATTGCACCCTCACGTAGGAGGGTCCGAATAAACAAATTAGCTAACTAATTAAGTAACTATTACAAACCCAAATGAATAATTTAGCTAAACTACTTAACTAATTATTACAAAAAAATAAAAATGAACTAATTATTTACATGAATACAACATGAAAATGGTGCTAAGCTAGCTATTCTAATTACTCCGCCTCAGGAAACGAGAAATGCTCATGCATGCACGAACTTTCCACCCAAAAAAGCCACTATTTCTGCTACCTAATGCCTCTGTTACATAGTAGAACACTTGCACTGATTTCCACCTCAGAACCTGTTGGAAAAAATGATTTTTGCTGACTTTAATTAAATATTAAAGTGTGGTGACTTTAATTAAATATTAAAGTGAGTCCCAACATTTTATTGTGTTAGGTCCAAGTGAGCCAAAAACCATTGGGTTTTGAATAAGAAATTGTCAAGAAATTGCCTCATGATGTTAGATTCATGAATAGGATTTTAAAGAGTATTTAAATCCTTTTTCTTGACTAAAGGGTGTGAATCCTTTAGGCATCCAAACTTTCATATTTTTGGAAAGGGGCTATAGATGCTTGGTGTTTTAATGACCAGCCTTAAAGGCTGGAGGCTCTTCTTCTCTTCCCTTTACATGTATAAATTGAGACCCTCCTATCAAGTTTCAATATAGAAATTTTTTGCTTCCATTTTACAAGTCAGTTTGCCAGAAAGCTCCTACATTGAGAGAGTGCTGCCACTGTTCTTGTTCGCTAAGCTAGACAAAAAGTGCTTCTGTCGTAGCTGGTTTTGACCGTCGTATCCTGGGAGACAGACGCCAGGATTCCTCAAGCACTCGACCCGTGAGGCGGCGAAATCTGTTTAAGGAAACTGTTTCCGTGCAGGCTTCGATTTCGTCTCTTTACCCTTTTATTGTTTTGTGTATTTCTGTTGAAATTTAATTGTAATTATCAGCATATGTTCTTGGTATATAATTTGATTTCTTCATAAATCTATTTATTTAATTTCACAATTTGAACAACAGAACCAACTCTGTTCTTCTTCAAAAGTACACTGCTGGATTTCGCACTGGTGGCCGGCAGATGGCCTGCCGTCCACTGATGGTGGCCTGCCGGCCATCAATAGTATCCTGCCGGCCACTCATGACTGGACTTTCTTGTTACAACAGAGAGCAAACAGAGCAAGAACAGGGTATTCTCAAGGGTTTGTTTACACAATTCATCCCTCCTTATCATTTGAATAGCTCAAAGGAGTAGCAAGTTTGATTCACAACCACCAATGGATGCAATTTCATTGCATGATGACTTATGAACTAAGTGTGCAATTTCAATTAATGTAACAAAATAAGACTCTCAAAACCACCTCCCTATCATGAATGATCAAAGGGGGTAGTTGACATTGAATCTTAAACCGTTTTCATCACTAATGAGTATGAAGCGATTCAAGACTCAAGGGTTCAATTAACGTCCGATTGAACCCAAATCAAATTATTATCTTGCACCTTTTTATTCACCGATTTTATTATTCCATAATTACCTCTCAATTCTTTAATCAATTAAGTTCACAAGTGAATTTAAGTCCTATAATGGAAAGAGGGCTCAAACCAAGTGTTGCTTTGGACATGAAAGAGACATCATACCGTTGGTAATGAACCCCCAAAGGGATTAAACCATTAAACATGACACCTCAATCTCATGCTTAAACAAACAAATAATTTGAAACCACTTTCAAAGCAAAGAAAAAGCCAAGAAAGAAGGGAGGTTGAAGAGATAATTAAAGGTGAGAACAAGTAAGAAAAGCACTAAATAAATGCAATCAACTCAAATAAGGTGGTGTCTAAGGCCTAAAACACCAAACTTATGAGGACAATTACACTACAAGCATGCGATACAAGGCTCAAATGCAATGAACACTTAAAAATAGTGCTAAAACAGTGCTAAATAAGTCCTAAAACATGCTGGAATTAAGACAAAAATAGCTAGAATAATAAGCTAAAACATAGAGCTATGTAAGCTAGTGAACAAGATACAAAGAGGGGAGACTAACCCCTCTAATTTTGGACTTCAAAAAGTATTTTTAGCCATTGAAATAATTTTGAAATTCAATTTTTAAAAGCTCAAAAAAAGGTGACAACAAGGTAGGAAATACAAGGGTAAAGGCCTTGGAAGCTAGGTAGAAGGAATGGTGAGCCACCCCTTCATCCTTATTAGCCTTAAACCACAAGTTTCAGTCCAAAATTTCAGAGTTTAGACAGTCTAAAAATAGCTCAAAAATAGTACAAAAATGTGATGGAATGAAGACAAAAGTAGCTAAAACAATAAGTTAAAACATAGAGCAATTTAAACTAGTAAACAAGCCAAAGGAGGGGTGACTAACCCCTCCATTTTGGGACTTCAAAAACCACTTTTTTAGCCTTCGAAAACCTCTAAAAATCAGTAGTAAAAAGCTCTAAAAAAAATTAATGAAGAGATGGGAAACACAAGTGTAAAGGCTTAGAGAACAAGGTTCAAAGAAGGGTGATTAACCCCTGTACCTTTAATAGCCTTAAACCACAAGCTTCAGCCCATAAAAACAGTTGAAAAAAAAAAAACAGTTCAAAATCAACAAGAAAAGATAGAAAAGAAGTAGTGCAAAGGAGCTAGTAGTTATACCTCATGAAGAGGAATAACACTTTTGTTCACAAACCAACAAGTTCTCACTCTCAAGGGCTGAAATTTTGACTCCAATAATCTCAGCAAGGAGAGCTCCAACATTGGTTTAGGAAGTGTTTAGGTAAGGTGTGTGTGTTTCAAGATAAAGATAGAGAGAGAATTTCAAGAATTGGAAATTTTGGAATTTTTTTCAATCTTAAACCATGAGGAAAGGCCTGCTATATATAGAAAAATAGTCCCTCAGGTTGAAAATATCATGCCTGGAACAACTGGAGCTTTTGGGGGACAGCTGGCCAAAAATATCTGTGTTTTTCACCAGTGGCAGGCAAGCCAGAAGTGTGAATTGCCAGCCACGAAAATCTGCTTTCAGGTCCAACTTCAAACGGGCATGTCTCCTTCATCCGGACTCGGTTTTAGGTCATT